AGAATCCTCCCAAGTCAAATGCTAGTGGTCACTGAGGGCCAGGGTAGACAGCTGGGCCAGGACTGGGTGATCACACATTTGCTGTGTAGACAGAATTGTTGAAAATGGAATATTTTTTCAAATGTCAGGAAGAGGTGGGGCGTCGAGGAAACTCAGGTGAGATCACTTGGGTTTCATCTATTTGGCTCCTAGGCTTCTTCAAAGCTGTTTGTTCATTTGCTTGTTCATTCATTCACTGCATTTGTTCACTCATGCACTGCAGTTCTGGGGGTTGAACCCAGCAGCTGCAGCTCTGTTCTTTATGGTTCCCAAAGGCTCTGCTACATTTCTCTGGGGTACGATTGCAGGTTTTCCATCTCTGAAAGACAAGCATGCAATTCCTCCTTGCTACCTACACTGCACACATGACCCCTCCGAAGGGCCATTCGGTGGAGTCTCTGCTGCGATCCAGCCCTTGGGTGACCCTGGGTGGCTTATGAGTCCCAGCGCAGGTCTCTCTCTGGGGCACCAATGGATCTGAGCATAGAAGAACTGGATTTCTGTGATCCAAACATATTTCCTTCCTGGTCAAGGGACACCAACTCGCGCCCTGACCCAGGGTCCCTGGAAACAGAGCAGTGCCATCTAGGAAGGGGGACAGAGGTGAGCAAATCCCATGGTCGCCATACTGGCCTGGCCCTCTTCTGCCATTACACTGTGCAGTAAGAGGATCTGTGGTGACAAAAGGACAGAGCAAGATCCTGTGGCAGAGTTGGAGCTGAGCTCAGATGTACCCCTGGCGCTCCCTTGGGCCACAGCTGGCTTCCTCCAAGCTCTTTATCTTGGAGCCTAGCTGAGCTACATCACCAGTGACAGATAGGCATCAGCAGGTCTGTCTGCCCTCAGGGCAGGCCATGATGTGGCAGCAGCAGGATGGGTGGGGATGGGCAGGGGAGAGTGAAGTCGGAGATGGTACAGGATCCAGCATGGGTGGGTGGCATGAACCTGCAGCAGGGATGACTCGGCAACGGTGGAGAAGGGCAGGACCATGAAGGATGTGGCAAGAACCTAAGCAGGAAGGCAGACTTGGAAGAGGGAGGAAGGTGCAGGCCTTGGGACCCAGAGAAGGACATGTTAGCTCTGGGTGCCTGGACGGAGTGGGAATGCGGTGACTTGGGACAAACAGCAAATAGCAGGGAGCCTCCTTGCCTGCAACTCAGCTTCTCCAGCTGGGAGTGATGTCTTTCTTAGGTCATCTCTTTCTTTTAATGCACCCCTGAAATTTGATGGCAGTACGTCGGCACGCTGACCACCTAGATGCAGAGGACACTGACTATTTGATTGAGGGCATCATCCTGCCTCCTGCCCCCATGTTTCCTAGCAACCAGGCAAACATAGAGCAGGAAGATGTCATTTCTCACAGGTGGTTGGGAAAAATTAACCATGGTGCTGCAAAGATGTGGAAAATGTGTGTCTGGCACAGGACACATGTGGCCCGACCTTTCAGGATGTGATCCTCACGATGGGCCTCATCAGCTATCCCAGAAGCCTCCAGCAATGCAGCCATCCCAGATCTTACAACCTAGGTGAGTCACTTTCCTGAGCCAGGGCAGAGTAGAAACCACAAGCCTGAGCATGCTCCTGGTGGTAAACAGCTGTGGTTTACAAAGACACACAGGAGAGGGGAGGGAAATGGTAAGAGATCTGAGGACCACTTTCTGGAATCGTGTACCTGACACCAGTTACAGGAGCACTCACTGAGACCCCAGAGCCAAGGATGCAGCCCAACTCCCCACACTGGGTGGCACTGTCCCAGGCAGGCATGAGCGCAGATGCTTTGGAGAGATCAGCTCTGGAATCTGGCCACAAGCCACCTTCACGGGCAGTAAGACGGTTACCTTGCTCTGCAAAGTGCATTCCTCAAGAAGGGTTTATCTAGAGCCCCAAGTTGGATGATGGAGTCTCAGGACCCTTTGTTTTATTTTGTGGTAGATAAGACGTGTCTGGTGCTGCGACAGCTTGATTAATGTCCTTCTTTGCAACCAGGCTGCCAGCTGCTCACAGACAGGGAGCACCTCTGGCTCTTCTCTCCCTGGTCTGGGCCTGAGTGTGGCTTATCACAGGCCCTTACAGATGGGACTCAAGCACGAGGTACAGTGGAAAGGCTGTGGGTCCCAGGATAGGCTGGGCACCAAGCCGTCCCAGCCAGTGACCTCCGCTGCAGCTTGTTAAAAAATAAGCCTCCGAGAGTTCCTACTGAACCCCCAAAGGGCAGTTTACTTAGCCTCGCAGATAACTCCATGCCCAATGGAGGGAGGGAGAGAGGAGATAGGGAAAGGAGGAGAGAGGGAGGAGGGAGGGAGGGAGAGGGAAAAGAGGAGAAAGGGAGAGAGAGGAAGAGGGGATAGAGGAGAGAGGCAGAGGGGACAAGAGGAAAAAGGGAGAGAGGGAGGGAGGAGAGAAGAAAAAGGAGAGAAGGGAGCAGAGAAGGAGGAAGAGGGGATAGAGGAGAGAGGCAGAGGGAAAGAAAGAGAGGGGGAGAGAGGAGAAAGGGAGAGAGGGAGGGAGAGGAGAGAGGGAGGGGTGAGAGAAGGGAAAGAGGAGAGAGGAGAAAAGGAGAAAGAGGGAGAGGGAGGGAGGGGAGAGGAGGGAAGGGGAGAGGAGTAAGTACATCTACAGCAACCATATCATTTACATGGCACACATCATGTAAATAAATTGAACAATTTAAACTGTGACCAAAAAAAAAAGAACCCGACAATAGCAAATTAAGTAGAGTAGTGCAGCTTCTACATGCATGCTTTCTCACGGGTTGGTCTGGGCCAGAACCAACGAAGTAGGCTCCCCCTGCTCCCAGCAGGCTCAGGCAGCCTCGCACCTCTCCCCAGGCAGTGCCTTTCTTATAACATAAGCCAGAAACCCAGGGTGAGCATGTTACCTCTTGTCTCACTGAGAATACTAACCCAAACACGACTTCACAGAACAGCAGAAAATAGGGTCCTGGTGGACATCAGCCTAGGCAGCTGGCTGGGGCCCACAGGGTGTCCACCTCCCTAAGGAACTTTCACAGGTCACTTTGTCCACAGTCAGTTTTCTCCTTACGCCTGGACTAAGAATCTACTCAGGTCTGTCGGAGCCAGCTCCACTAGAGCTGCTTCCCCAGCCCCCGAGGGTGGTAACTGTGGGCCAGCGACAACCTTCAGGCTGACTCAGGCCAGGCTCTGGTTTAAGGTGGGCTTTGGAATTATCCCAGACTGGTAAGTAAGTGCATGTAGAGGGTATATCCCAGGCACCTGAGGACTTGGGCCCGGTCTGTGGGGACCCAAGGTCCTCCCCTCCCCTCGCCTGCCTCTCTGACGGGGACAAGTTACACGGGTCTGATGCAAGCTGATGAAATCAACTGAGCACCGAGAATGGGCAGGACCACAGAGCTGCACTACGAGCCCTGAGAGTTGAGACCATCTGTGTCAATATCATGGAACTCTTCCTCTGAGGATCTGTTTATTCAGGAAGCTAAGGCCGCAGGCCAATAAATAGCCTCGCTGTTTGCCGAGGGAAGCTTCTGCAAGACAACCCGTCCTGTTTGCTCACCTGGGGAAATAGCTCATTTATCAACAAGGATCATTGTACCCAGCCTCACTTCAAGCCACAGCTTGCTCTAGCCACCAACCCTGGTAGGTCACAAACTTCCCAGAAACGCAGTGGTTCTGCACCTTGCACATTGCAGCTCGAAGGACTTCGGCCCGGAAATCCCGATCCTCCCACCTGCGCCTGGGTTGGCTGCTCCCAGGACTGTCCTCAGGGTGCTCCCCCGCTTCAGAGCTGCTGGATTCAGCTCTGCTTCAGCAACAGGGGGACTCCGCATAATCCACAGCGGACACCATACATCTGCTGCACTCTCTTGGAAACAGGGAGTGTATGGAGCGGAGCAGATGCACCCTTACTTAGAGCGCAGACCGGCTGGGGTAATGATTAAACACAATCACCCTTTCTCAGTAATAAAGTATCCTCACTGTTTTCCCTCTGGAGACAAGATGTAGAATTCTGAACACCTGCTTATAACAGATTTCAAATGCTTAGTTTGCCTCCATTTTTAAAATGTATTTTACGTGGTGTTCTCTCTCTCTCTCTCTCTCTCTCTCTCTCTCTCTCTCTCTCTCTCTCTCTCTCTCTCTCTTTTTGATGCAAAATTTCACTATGCAACTCAGGCTGACCTGAATGCACTTTGTAACCCAGGCTGGCCCTTGAACTCGAAGCAACCCTCCTGCCTCAGCCTTCTGAGTTCTGTGATTATAGGCATGTGCCACCACGCCCAGCTGGTTCTGTATGTTTTAAATTTTCTACAAAGATAACCACTAATTTGAGAGTGGATGAAGGGAAATAAAGCCGAAGGCCACATGAATAGAGAATGAAATTAATCTCCAAGTATAAATTAGAAATGATCATCGAGTCTCAATTAAACACAAAATCCATGTATACATGCTCCATCCCACTTAGATGCTAGCAAGGCAATTTACTCCACCAATATCAATTTCTACAGAAAGGCTGTACAGTTTTCATCATCATGCATGTGTTCCTCTCTCACCCCCAAAGAAGCTTTTGGGGTGTTGAGCCAAATGGACCACAAATAACATTCTTGCAGTCAGAGCGAGGCCAGGGGTCCCGGCGCCTGGCTTTGTGCTCCTGTGACTCACATCACAGTGCGTGGCCAGATTCTCCACAAGCACAGTTCAGCCCTCACACCACCAAATCATGCAACTGCAAGGGGCAACCAAACACTCTGCACATAAAGATGCCGTCGCTGGCCTGAACAGTATGGTGCCTCTCTCTGTCCCTGTGGGACCATAGGATCACAGCCCCACCTGCTGCAGGACACAGGGCGACAGGCTAGGGTCACCCCAGCAGGCAGGGAGGACAGGTTTCCCCTGCAGCTGCTAGGGTACCCCAGCTCCCTGTGGCCAAGCAGAGGGAAGGAGCTAGCTATAGGTGACCCCCGTGCCCCTTTCCCAGCTTCCCTTTACCTTAAAGAAACTTCCTCGCTTGTCCAGAGCGCGGGTGCCCATGGTCCACGCTGACATCTCCCCAAGCCAGTCTCTACTGCATGCCGGGGACTCCTGAAGGTAGAGACATTTTTAACGGTTAGCCCAGCCTGTAGGAAATTCCTTTCTAAGCCACAGAACACTCACAACAACAGTCCTGCCAAGATCTTTTTCCGTCAACAACACAGTGCCATTTATTTCCCACCAAAGCCCTTCCATCTCCTTTCAGGCCAATTTCCTGCCGGGCCAGCGCTGTCCCTAGACTGCGCCCCACCTCGTCGCCCCTCCCCCGCGGGAGCTAACGCACAAGGTCCTGGGGACTCTATGCGGGGAGCATAATGATGGCTTTGTGCCACTGCTTGACCTCCTGCTGAGGTCCGAAAGGACCAACATGAGATGTCCCACAGTCTACCCAAAAGCGAAGTTTCAACGTGGCTGATCGCAGGGGGATGGTGGAAGAATGAGGGTCTGTGTCTCCCAGGAAAACTGGCTTCAAAGAGCTGAGGTCATCCTGAGCCCTGCCAGACCCCTCCCCAGCCCAGGTCAGCAGGAGGGCACTGAGGCAAGGGCTCTGCATTCTCCTAGATGCCTGTGGGGCTGGCAGGCAACGCAAGCAGCGACGTCACTATTTACAGATGTCAGCTTGTATAAGGGGACAGTGAGCACACAGCCTCCTGTCATCTAAGAGGATGGGGTGGGACTCACTTTGGAATGTGGGGAAAACCCAAAGCAGGAGAACAGCAGGGTCCTGCGTCACCCCCTGGTGATCTGAGCTTAGAGCTTGCTAAGCTCCAGCATGCAAGCCAACCATCCTTCCCTAGGGCCACAAAGCCTCCAACCCTGGGATCCAAGGCAAGCACACACACCTGGGCGCGATGAGAGCTGGGGAGTCCCCAACCCCTCCTTCCTGGGGGGCTGCACAGGACCTGCAGCAATGCATCATGCCGAGGACCATCTCACCCCAGCCATGATCACTGGAGATAAAGGACAGGCAGAAAGAGCAGAATGCTACAAGTAGCTGGGGTGCAGGGCAGGGGGGTACTGAAGTCAAGGCATCCCCAGGAAGTTTACTGCAGCTGTTTTACTTCCAGCTGGGAAACCAAGAACCAGAAGGACAACAGGCACAGTGAGGCCAGCCCAGGGGCATTTCAGCAAGCGGGAAAGTGTAAATCCACACAGGCAAGGCGCACATGTGAACACGGTCACTGCATAGAGATGCAGGTACAGCCTCAGCTCAAGTTGGAATCTCATCCAGGAGAAAAAAAGGGCGCCCTTCTTTCTGAAACCCTCACCTATTTAAGGCACTGCTCTGCAGTCCCACCACTTTCCTGCCTTTCTTCCCCCTTGAGGTCCTGCTGGGATAAAGCCCAAGTTCCAGTGCCCTCCTTTTTTTTTTTTTTTTTTTTGGTGGAACCAGGGATCGAAGTCAGGCCCTTGCATTTGCCAGGGAAGTGCTTATTCCACTGAGCCATCTCCCCAGCCCCAGTGCCCTCCTGGGAGCTACCCAGCCAGCTGCCGAGGCTTCGGAGGCCCAGCCTTCTGAATTTCATCCTGGCAGCAGAGGACAGGTTGGAACAGCTCCACAGAGTGCAGCGCTGTGCTCAGAGCTAGGTATGGGGCAGGAATTTCAGGAGCCAAAAATGCACTGCTCACACCCAGAAGCACACAGGCCTCTTTAAAAACTCCCACCCTCAGGACCATTGCCTTAACCATCTTGCGTATATAAATGTATGGCTTTGCCCCTGCCATGTTTCCTAGCTTTTCTCCTTGCCTTCTCTTCACTGTTTACTCCTTTTCGCTTTCATTTAGTTGTGTTATACTTTTCAATTTTTATTTCTTCTTTTGAGTTCTTACACTAGGGAGACTATACCATATTTACACATGTGGGTCTAGTTTATTTCACTCATGTGTATATCTTCAAGTGGCATCCACTTATATATAAAGGCTTCGAGTTTATCATTCTTTACAGCTGAGTAATACTCCATTGTATAAAAATACCACATCTTTTTCATCTACAATATATGAATGACAATGGAATACCCATCTCTGACAAAAGTAAACAAAAAGGGGGATATAAATGAAGGACCATGTTGTAGGAAATATATATATATATGTATATATCTATATCTATATCTATATCTGTATATACAAAATAGTTAGCATAGATATACAGCTACTTTCTCTTAGTTCAATAAGAAGACAGTTTGAACTAATAGTGTTTAGACAAGATATTATGCCTGTATCTTGTACTATGAATAACTACTACAAAGACAACAATATGCCATATGCTAATTATTGTAACTGTCCTACTAACCTGTTTTGAAACTGTCTCATTGCTACTTCTTTCTCAGTAAAATTAATAAAAAAAAATAAAAAATGAAATCTCCCACCCTGCTTGAAACCAAGCCTGAGGTCTCTTGTCTGTTTTCTTTCAGACATTCTTGGCAGGGGATTCCCTGCAGCCGGGCACGTAAGAAATTGAAAAGTGACAGCCAAGACTTCATTCTTCATCCAGATCCACGTTTCTTGGTGCTGTCGCGAAGCGTTCCATGGAAAGGCCCACTGGATGAGCCGAGACAGGCAGGAACTTCTGCCTACTTTGGATGCCAGAGCTTTACTAGTTTGCCCAGCCTGGCTGCTGACGCTTGCATATACCTTAGCCTCAACTTATCTGCACTTCAATGTCTGGCCTGATTTAGTGGGCAGGGGCAGGTGGCATCCTCCCTCCTAGGTGCAGACTGTCGTAGGGGGTAGGAGAGTATGGCCAGGTGTCCAGCAGCTGCCTCCCATAGAAAGGAAGCTGGGGACTGTCCCATCAGCCATGCAGATAGCACATGGAAAAAGCATTACTAGTTCTTAAAAGAGGGATGGGATGGGGAAGTAGAGAGGATTATGATTTGAAATACGTGAGTACCAAGTCTCCATGATAAATGCATTCACTGTGGGTTGCAAACATAGACTAATAAAAATACACAATCAAAAGCAAAACATAAGTAAATAAAAGTGCAAAGATTGGGGCCGGGGAGATGGCTCAGTAGAATAAGTGCTTCCCTGGCAAGCGCAAGGACCTGAGTTCAATCCCCGGTTCCGAAAAAAAAAAAAAAAAAAAAAAAAAAAAAAAAAAAAAAAAAAAAAAAAAAAAAAAAAAAAAAAAAAAAAAAAAAGTGCAAGATTATGGCTCCAGGCTCGTTCCAATAGTTTTCTTCCCAAATTCCAGACCTATGACTCCAAGCACTTCAATCTAAGTACACTGCCATTTCTCCTTGGACCCTGGGCTCCCACCTCTCCCTGCAGATGTCACCCAGTGGTTGCCTCCTACAACCACCCAAGTAAAGGCTGGGCTGAAAATGAAAATGTACCATACTTTGAGCGGCTGTAAAATTCCTCCAGACTCAGAGCAGTGAAACTCTTCCTGATTTTTCTGAAGGGTAAAGCATTGCATTTTAGAAAGCCAAGTCTGATGTGCCCTAGATCTTTCTAGATGCCCGCAACACCACTGTCTACACCGCAGGAACACCATCCAGGGAGCTGCAGGGGTTGAAAGGGCAGACAGGAAATGAATGCTCCTGGCTTTCTCAAGAGTTCCAGGCTTTAAGGAGAGTCACATGGAGTGAAAACATTGTCTCAGGCTTTCACAGAGAGCAAATTGGTCAAGCAATGGCCATGACTCATCCACATGGCTGACACTGACAAAGGATCCACAAACTGCAGCACAGGGTTTCAGGATAAATCCTGAGGGGATTTGACTGATATCAGATACAAAAGTTACAGTTCTTGTTATATAGGTCTTGGTTTATCTTGGTCTTAACCATCCAGCAGAGAAGTATAAAAACGAAGTATAAAAAGTAAAGCCATATTAATATGCTGAGCTGTAAAAGGCTCAAGTCAACAACTTGTGACACTGCCAGTCCTGCGGATGACCCACTACTATTATGGACTAGTGGACTATATTGGAATATTTTGCTGAATTCATGTACCTACAATATTTATTTATTTTTTTAATATTTATTTATTTTTATTTATTACATTTATTTATTGTGTGTGTGTGTGTGGCCAGCTCAGCCCACCAGGGGGCGGGGCTGGCTGGCATGTGGTGCTGGAGGATTGAACCGCGGTCCCTGTGCTTTGCCAAGCTTGTTTCAAGTAGGTGCTTTAGACCACTGAGCCATCTCTCCAGCCCCTACCTACAATATTTAAATACTAATGGAATACCCATCTCTGACAAAATTAAACAAAAAAGGGAGATACAAACGAACGACCACTTTGTATCTGTATATTCAAAATAGTTAGGATAAATATACAGCTGCATTCTCTTAATTCAATGAATAGAGAGATTTGTTCTAATAGTGTTTGTGGACAGGATATCGTGTCTGCATCTTGTACAGTGAATAACTACTAAGACAACAATACGCAGTGTATTGATTATTGAAACTGGGCTAGTAATCGGTTTTGAAACTGTCTCATTACTATTTGTTTCTCAATAAATTTTTTTTTTTAAAGAGCTCCAGGTTTGGTCCCTGGAGAGCAAGCCATGCCCCATGCTGTACTTTCTGGTAGCTCCAGAGGTGACTGCTAGGTGCATGAAGGTTGGCACCTGGCTGGCCCCAAGCTGGTAAGCCAGCTGCTTGAGGCCAGGCCAGCCCGACTCTCTTGCTCAGGTACAAGACCACCGCTGTGGCGAGGTACCTGCTGCTGCTTGGCACTGGGGACTCAAATCCAGAGTCCCAGTTCCATGATTATTAAGCTGGGCAAGGTTCTTGTACTTCTGCTCCTGCCTAGCTGGAGTAAGAACCAGACAGACTGGGGTACTGTCAGTCAGGGTTGCTCCACTGTAGGGATCTGTTCTGTGTGAACATCAAAGTGCCAAGATGTCCCTGTCACTAGGCCATGTAATCTTATCGGACCTCTGTCCTACTTACACCTCTTTGTTGCCGACAGACACGTGACATGCATCTTGCGACTGTACGGAGGTGACCCTTGCCTTCCCCTCCTCTACCTTTTTCTCTTTTCTTCAGTACTGGGGATTGAGTCCAGGGCACAGAGCTGCAGCCCCAGCTCTTCTAAAAACAACTGTT